CGGGCTACATGTTCCAGTATGATTCCACCCATGACAAATTCCAAGGCACAGTCAAGGCTGAGAACAAAAAGCTTGTCATCAATGGAAATCCCATAACTATCTTCCAGGAGCGAGACCCCACCAAAATCAAATGGGGCAAAGCTGGCACTAAGTATGTTGTGGAGTCCACTGGCATCTTTGCCACCATGGAGAAGGCTGGGGCTCACCTATGGGGGGTGCCAAAAGGGTCATCATATCTGCCCCTTCTGCTGATGCCCCCATGTTTGTGATGGGTGTGAACCACGAGAAGTATAAAAACAACATTGTCAGCAATGCCTCCTGCACCACCAACTGCTTAGCCTCCTTCGCCAAAGTCATCCAGGACAACTTTGACATCATGGAGGCACTCATGTCCACAGTCCATGCCATCACTGCCACCCAGAAGACTGTGGTTGGCCCCTCTGAGAAATTGTGGTGTGATGGTCATGGCACTCTCCAGAACATCAGCCCTGCCTCAACTGGTGCAGCCAAGGCTGTGGGCAAGGTCATCCCTGAGCTAAATGGGAAGCTTACTGGCATGGCCTTCCGTGTCCCCACTGCCAATATGTTGGTTGTGGACCTCACCTGCCATCTGGAGAAGGCTGTCAAATATGATGATATCAAGAAGGTGGTGAAGAAGGCAACAGAGGGCCCCCTCAAGGGCATCTTGGGCTACACCAAGCACCAGGGCGTCTCCTCTGACTTCAACAGTGACACCATTTTTCCTCCTTTGATGCTGGGGCTGGTATTGCCCTCAATGACCACTTCGTCAAACCCATTGCCTGGTATGACAATGAAATTGGCTACAGCAACAGGATGGTGGACTTTATGGCCCACATGGCCTCCAAGAAGTAAGAGCCCCCGGACCATCAGCCCCAGCCAGAGCACGAGAGGAAGAGCGAGGCCCTCAGGTGCTGGGGTACCTCTGCCCGCTCAGTCCCCCACCTCACTGAGAATCTCCCCTCAACACAGTTTCCACACCAGCCCCCCTGAAGAATGGGAGGGGTCTAGGGAGCCCCACCTTGTCATGTAACATCAATAAAGTTCCCTGAATTCCAAAAAAACCCCAATAAACCCCTACATGTGATCTTTTAAGTCTGAACATGGGCAATTACACAGGCCTTACCTGGTAGGGCTCCTGCCAGAAACTTCCCTCTCCACCCCAGACTTGGTGCACAACCAATTCACCTCAGTCTTTTACAAGAGTTGCAGGCAAGGATTGCCACGATCTCATGCCTATCTGCATTTCTAGTGCAGGATCTGCATTGAAAGTTTTCTATATTGGGAGCCTTCCCCAGATGGGTTTTGTAAGCACCTCTGCCAAGACCTTAATCAAAGAAAAAGAAGGGAAAAATGAAGACATTTTTCCCCACTATGATTCAGTATGTTTCTACCTCTAGCCCTTCTCAAATTTCCCCCCTCATGGAAATTGCAGGTCCATAAAACTGAAGAGTACTTTTGGTGAGGGATTCCACAGGGGTGAGACAACCTCCATGTCTGTGAGCTCCACCAGACTGTCAAATGGTGGGGGGAAAAGTGGATTGGGGCAGCTGGGCTCTCTTTGGTACAGTTCACACTTACACTGTCACAGTAAGTGATGAAAGTCTTGACTGTTACAGTAATTGGGACTTGTTATCTTACTTGGCTTCTTCAACCCTTGATAGAGAGCCCTCTCCTGCTCAGCTGTGCTTGTAACAAATAGAAATGAGCAAATCCTTGGGCTGTCTTCTCTTTCTTCCATGGCATCTGTACCTTGTGGGTCAGTTCTGTTTCATCTGGTTCTTTCTCTTTCATGCACTTAGGAAAATGTGAAGTGAATGTGGGTTGCCCTGTTGAGTGAGTGACTGTGTTGATTATTGTTGCATTTGTTCTCTTTGTGTTTAGGTTCACTTCCCCGTCAGGTTTCTTTGTAGGTGGGAAGGACCATCATGCTATCAATAGTCATGGCTGTTAGAGTGACTAGCAGTCTAAAGACCCCTTTCCAGTTGCTCAATATGGGAAGACTTTGCTCAAGGAGGCTGACAGTGTAGTGAATTCCCTTTAGAGTCCTGTGGGCACTATTTTCTCTCTATTTATTGTAGAGGTCTGGAGTAAACACGGGATAGAGGAGTCTCTCTCAGACTGCAAAACTCATTGAGATGCACCGTGTACACCCTCCTAGAAAAGGAGAGAAAAACAAGAAGAGGCAGAGGGCAAGAGAGAGGAAGACATCTGTCCTCTCTGAGGGGAATTCCTGGGTTATCTCAGACAAATTCTGTGGATTTATTTGTTAGGAGGTGGGGCCGCCCACACCAGATGCTCCAAAGGAGACCCTCTATTAATTTCTTGATGATTGCCACCTTCCCCTTCCTCACATGAGTTCACTTTAAGCTTTCAATTTCTTCACAGCTCTATTAAGAATTACGACTCCTAATTTGGTACCTAATTCAAATCCCCAGTCTGGTCGGAGCTAGGCAACCTGTGCTTTGACATCTATATCGTAGTATAACTGGTGCACATAGGCATTTAGTAAATAATAATCATCTTCCTTTACCAACCCTATTTCCAAAACAGTACATGGTTAAATTCTTTGTGGAAACTCTCAGCCACATTAGACTTTCAAATGCTCTGAGAATACCTGCCTGAAATAAATCTATTTACCTGTACCAAACTCAAGAATTCCAAATGTTTGTAACTGTAGATCCATATTTTTTTCCAGAACATCTTTTAATGTGTGGGTTTACATAACACTGCATGGCAGACTCTACCCTGAAGGCTTGTGAAATATCTCTTTGGCAATGAATCTCTTAATGAAAGTTAAAAAGATTGCTCTGACACTTGTCCAGTTCCATGCTATGGGCCATCTGAGCACCAAAGATTCTTTAAGTTTCTCATAAATATCACTATTACTATTTTAACAATAGTAAATATTTCATATAGTGAACAAATATGCAAAATTATTTCATATGATGCTAAGACCTAACAGAAATATAATGGAGTCACAGGATAGCAATTACCAGGATGTTTAATACTTTGATAGCAAAGAAACTCTCTGAGGAGATGGCATTTCAGTCAAGCCCTGAATGATGAGACTCAGTCATGAAATAGTTGGAGAAGAGCATCCCAGGCACAGGAAACAATACCAAGTGCAAAGGCCCTGAGACGGGAAAAGGCTAAGTCTCAGGAGTTCAGAACCAAGACCAAGGAGACCCAGTAAAGTGCGGTGAGGGAGTTATGCAACTGCAAGCAGTTGGGTGTTGGAAGACAAGTTTCAAAGATGCCACTCAAGGGAAAAACCAGTTCTAGAAAAGGGAAAGGGGTAGCAGCCTCTGGAAGTGACAATTCTGACAAGAAGGCTCAGCGTCCCAAATGTGGTGGCAATGCAGTAAAGGTCAGACACATTCTATGTGAAAAACAGGGCAAAATCATGGAAGCCATGGAAAAGTTAAAGTCTGGAATGAGATTCAGTAAAGTGGCTGCACAATATAGTGAAGATAAAACCAGGCAAGGGGGCGACTTGGGTTGGATGACCAGAGGGTCCATGTTGGACATTTTCAAGAAGCAGCATTTGCCTTGCCTATAAGTGGGAAGGATAAACCTATGTTTACAGACCCACCAATTAAGACAAAATTTGGATATCATATTATTATGATTGAAGGGAGAAAATAAATCATATGAAAGACTGAAAAAAAAAAAGTGAGGCGAGGGAGATCAGCTGGAAAGGGGATTTGAAAAATCAGCCGGGCTCGGCGGTGCAAAGAAATCAGATGAATATTGGTAGAAGAATTTTATTTTGAGATACTAACTGTGATTTTTTTATTCTCCACTCTCTTGCACTTCTAAGTGCCCCCACTGTTCTCAGAAAATAACACTTCCAAAAAACGAAGAAAGAAAGAAAGAAAAAAAAACACTTCCTGTATGCAAAGCCTTCTGTGGGAAGGCAGATGATTCAATGAGTACCAATGTTAGAATCTTGACTCTGAGTTCCAAGGCACACTCATTAAACTCATGGCAGAAATAACTATCTTGAAAAACAACACCCTTTAACAACAAGGCTTTCTGAGAGAGGAACTGATAATGGCCATGTTATAAATCATTTCACTGTGCACCAGCCATAGCTCCTGAGTCCTTTAGTCGTCAGGACAATCCTGAGTTAGGTAATGCTGCTGTCCCCATGATTACACTTGAGGAAACTGAAGCACAAGGAGGAGAATCAACTTGCCCAAGTCACAGCAGAGCCCAGGCTTGAGCCCAAGCAGTCTGCCTCTAGATCCCTTGCTTTGGGGGTTGGTATTTGTGTCCAGTGGTCTGGCTTTGAATCTCAAGAGTTGAAGGGGATAGTATTTCCCTCCACCCCACCCCAAGATGGGCCAGGGTAGCCTGGGAGTGAAGGAAGAAACCGCAGGTTAAAAAAGTGAGGGATCAGCCCTTCCCTGACACTTTTGTGAGAGCTCCTGAGTGGCCTCAATCACTACATGGTGTCCAGGCTTCCTGGGCAGCATCAAGGGCCCAGAAGATGGGAGTGAGGGACTCTGTAGAGGTAGGGGAAGGTGTCACAGATGGGACCACTGGGAAGGGGCAGACACAGGGTGAGACACTGGCAAAAGCAGGAAGGGAACTAAGAATCTTGGATAGGCTACTTGGATTGAAGCTGTCAGCCTACTCCCCTGTACTCTGGGCTGGTCAGGGGCGGTCTTGACAACGACTTAGGGGTCTGCCCCTACTGTTCTCGAGGCAGAGTCTCAATCTTGCTCCATAAATCCATCCTTAATCCTAGTTCCTTTCCTGCTCCAATGCCTCCCATGTTCCTATTGTTCACAGGAGGAAGTCCATACTTGGACTCTGAGAGAACCTAGGATCAGTCAGAGGGTCTTATGGTCAGCCATAGAGGCAGATAGGATTGGGGACTCAGAGACACCAGTCCCACCCCAACATGCCCGTGCATACCCCCTGGATCCCAGCAGTCCCCAAGTGCCCCATTATGGCTCTGGGTGAGGCTCAGACAGAGAGAACAGCAAAGTTTTATTCCTGGGAATTTCCACAAAGTGTCGGGGGCGGGGAAGGAGTGAGTCTAAAGCCAGGTGGTGGTGAGTCACTATGGACCAGAGCTCAGTGGCTCCACCTGCAGCCAAAGGCCACCCTCGGCTCTCAAGACCAGTTCTGGTTTCCTGCGCTGCTCCGTGTGGTCACACAGGATGCAGAAGCGCAGCAGCGTGAGCGCCAGGACCACCTTCATCTCGGTCATGGCGAAGGTCTGCCCGATGCAGTTCCTGGGGAGGAGGTGGGGACTTTGATTAGACCCAGGACCCCCAACTGGGCCCCATCATGCCTGGAACTTTCCCCAGAAACCTCTACCTCTACCATGATCAGCCTGAAGGGCAGAGGGCAAGTGGCTTGCGTGTTCCCCTATCCTGGCACCGACTCCAGCCCCCCACTCACAATAGCAGACAGAGGAGAGTGCTCTGAGAGCCAGGCTGTCTGTCTCCTCTTAGACCTACACAATTCCTGCTTTACAGATCTTTGCACACAACCTCCAGAGGAGGGGCAGGAAGGACAGCCAAAACTCTGACCACCTACAGTTTACCCATTTTGCCCACTATCATGCCCAGATCCTCACACCCATCACCCCACCCCCACCTCAGACCACCATTGCCCTCACCTGGGCCCTGCAGAGAAGGGAATGAAAGCCAGGGGTGACCTTTCCTTGATATTTTCTGGGTTGAAGCGGGAGGGATTATAGACCTGGAGGAGAAACAGAAGGACTGAGACAGGCTTGCCAGATAAAGTCTCTCTGGACCGCCAGCCTTGGAGAGTGTGTCTAGTAGTAGAGGGAAAGAGGACATCTTGATTTCTGTGTCAAAGTCCTGCCCCCTCCTCTAGGACCTCTGGAATGGAAAAAATGAGGTGGGGGGGGTCAGCACCTCTGGATCTGGCCACACAGCTGGGTTGTGATGGGTCCCAAAAATACTGATGAGACAGATGACTCCTATGCAAGAGGAGGGAATAGTCAGCACAGGGCCCCACTGCCTGATGGGACCCTCTTCCTGCCCAGGAGCCTCCTCCCCCTGCCTTGTGGGCACCTTTGGGGATGACCCGGCCATCCGGGAGCTCAATGTCCTGGGTACAGCAGCGAGAGACCAATGGAACTGGAGGATGCAGCCGCAGACTCTCCTTAATGCACATGGTCAGGAAGGGCAGCTGGGCCAGGTCGTCCCTAAGGAAACACCCGCCCCCCAACAGTTATCCAGGGAGCAAAGACAGAAATGGAATCTTCCAGCTACTATGTTTCCCAGGGAAGCCTATTCTCCCTGTAACAAAATAAGTTCCTCAAGAATCTAATATTTGAGAATTAGAAAAACAGAGAATTAGAAAAGTACCAAAGAAAATTTAGCCAGGTATTTTTAAAGGATATTTCTGAAGAAAACACAACATCCAAAAGCCAATTAGAAAAAGTTAACAAATTTACATAAAAATAAAGCATATAGTAAGGAAAAACAATACACAAATCCAATGTTTCACACTTTTTATCATTGTACTTGAGATATTAGCAAATGCAATTAGGAATAAAAGGAGAGTAATGCAATTTGAAATGTGGAGGTAAATGTATCATTTTGGCAGATAATGATTTTATTTTTAGAAAACACAATAGATTTCATAGGGCAACTCTTTTTATATTTTTTTTTTTTTTTTTTTTTTTTTTTTTTTTTTTTTTGAGACAGAGTCTCAAGCTGTTGCCCTCAGTAGAGTTCTGTGGCATCACAGCTCACAGCAACCTCAAACTCTTGAGCTTACGTGATTCTCTTGCCTCAGCCTCCCAAGTAGCTGGGACTACAGGTGCGTGCCACAACACTCTGGCTATTTTTTTATTGTTGTAGTTGTCATTGTTGTTTAGTTGGCCCAGGCCAGGCTCAAACCTGCCAGCCTGGCTGTACGTGGCTGGCGCCCTACCCACTGAACTACAGGTGCTGTCCAATTGAGCAACTCTTATAAACATTCAAGTTCCAATAAGGGAGCACAATTCTTTCTTCTTTTTGTGTGACTATTTCAAATGTTAATACCTGACACGTTAAACTGTTTTAAAATTTGAAAACTATAAAACACTACCCACTTCTACGGCTCAGAACACACTTTCCACATACGCAAACACAAGTTGCCTAGATTGTTTTTAATGCATTTTTCTATAGCTACTTTTAAGCATTTATGTGTGTGTGTACATATGTGTGTGTGTGTATACTATGCTATAGTGTGTATGTATACACACACATATATATGCTATAGCATTATTCTGTGTCATTTTTCATTTATCAATCTATTCTTGTATATTTCTTGAGACTTGTGTCAAACTAGAATTTTCCCTACTCTGGAGCTATAAAATAATGTCCCATGGCTTAGGGTTTTTAAGATTTCTTGTTTTATAAATTTCAAAAATTTATCATAGACATTATCTTGCTATAAGACAGGAGAAGAGGATTGAACTGACTTTTTTCCAGGCAGTTCTGAGTTGTCCCAAGAACTTTTATTAAATGATCTCTAATGTTCCTATTTATGAGGCACCGTATTTAGCATTTACTATATTCATTGGACTCAAAATTTATATCCATCAGTCGTTAGTATTATGTAGAAATAACAACTATCTGGGAAAGATAAAAGAAAAGATGCTACTAATTATAATATAAAATACTTGTTTTAAACTTAGAATATAAATGTCTTAACACAATAACTGAGAAAATGCCAGGTAGGCTATGTTGACCAGTTTGATGAAAGCATTTCAAATTGTATGTAAAACCAGCACATTGTACCCCATGATTGCATTAATGTACACAGCTATGATTGAATAAAAAATAAAATAAATTAAACTTAGCAAGAAATGTGAAATTGCTATATTCCAAATGAACGTATAAATTTCACTTGCCCAAAATATAAGATACATTTCTTCATAGCAAAGAAAGTATCTAAGGGTTAGTTCTATGAAACATGGATAAAATGTCTAAGGAAATATTTTAAACTCTAGTAAAAGGTTATTTGACTAGATGGATATCAATCAACACTACACTTGAGGATAGTATATGTCAATATTAAGAAGTAGTCCTTATTCCATAAATCAATCAGATATTCAAGTCAACTAATAGAACATATGCAATTCAAATCAAAATCTACCTCATTTTTTTAGGAACTTGATTAGTGTACTCTAAAATTTTTCTGGCAGAATGAAAGATCACGAAGAGCAGGCCAATTTGAAAGCAAAATATCAAAGATTTTTAAATCTATTATAAAGTCCTAGTAGTAAAAAGAGTATGGCACTGCTGCAAAAACAGAAAAACAGACACATGAACAGAATAGAGAGCTCAGAGATAGACAGATGAATACCTGAAACTTCACATTTGGTAAAGTAAGCCCCACAAAACCTTGTGAAATGGATCAGGAGTGTGGATGTAAAAGAAAATTTGGACAAATATGACCTCACAAAAATTAACCAAAAGTACCCCCTCCCATTCAAAAGGCAATATTTTGTAATAAAAAAGAGAGAAAAGATTAATTTCATACACATTCTTTTTTTTTTTTGAGACAGAGCCTCAAGCCCTGGGTAGAGTGCCATGGCATCACAGCCCACAGCAACCTCTAACTCCTGGGCTCAAGCAATTCTTCTATCTCCCAAGTAGCTGGGACTACAGACACCTGCCACAACACCAAGCTATTTTTTGGTTGCAGCTGTCATTGTTGTTTGGCAGGCCTGGGCTGGATTCAAACCCGCCCAGCTCAGATGTTTGTGGCTGGTGCCTTAGCCTCTTGAGTCACAGGTGCCAAGCCTTATATACATTCATAATAGCAAATATTTTAAATGATTCAAAGAAAAGAGAGAGGAAAAAAAAGAAAAGACAATCAGTTGTATTAAAAATGAATTAACATGTGCAAAAGATGTTCAGTCTCACTATTATTTAAAGAAATGTTCAATGAAAGAAGAAATGTAAAAATTGACAATGATTTAAAATTCAATAATACAGCAATGCTTTTGGTCAAATTATGGGAAAACTGGTAACATCCAACTCAGCTAATAGAAATGAATTTGCAATTGTAAGCAAAATTAGGCAATAAAAACTGTCTTTGATTCAGCAATTGCACTTCTGGGAATTTGTCCTGAACAGATGCTCCCACATGTAAGCAATTGTCACTGTACATGCGTGCAGACTGCACTACGTTGAATTTACCAAAAGTCTGAAAAAATTCAAATACACATCAATAGGAAGATGTTTAGATAGATTATGACACATCCACACAATAGAATACTATACAAACATAGGAAAGAAGGATCACTGGTCCTATTACATACGGCAGCCTGGAAGGTAAATCAGTACAGAGATTCTGAAAGGCCATTTGGCACTATCCATTATAATTAGAAACGTTTACTTAAATGACTTCACCATAACATGGAGTGAACAGAATAAAATGTGGAACTTTAGCACTCAAAAAGAGCTATAAGATTGACAGAGCTGCTGAGTGAAAGGAACAAGTTATAAAATGTATATATACACACATATACATGTATATACATATATATATAAATACCAAATGACAAAAAGCATATGGATATACATTTGGAGATGTTATAAATAGATAGTTAGGAAATCCCTAGCTCTACAGACCTCTCAGGAGAAAAGGAGGGGATCGCATCAGGTGTTAAGAATGTCAAGGATAACCCTAGTCTTCCCTAGAGTCTCAGTTAGTGTAAGAAGAATGTGTTCTCATCATTGTTTCTCTAATTTAACATTCATTTCCCCTGTGGTATAAACACACAAGGGAATACTATTCAGCCTTTAAAAGGAAGGAAATCCTGCCACTTGCACCAGCACAGATAAGCCTGGAGGACGTTAAGCTAAGAGAAATAAGCCAGGCATAAAAAGACAAATACTGCATGATCTTACTTATCTGTGGCATCTAAAATAATCAAACTCATGGAAGTATCCTCACATACTCAGCAGCCCAGATCATTTTTATCCCCAAAGTTTGCAACCTTTCCCCTGTTAACCAAGCTGCGTACCAAGCCCAACCATTGGTCTCTGCTCCTATTCCCACTAAGTGATAGTGGCAAAATCAGCAAAAACACCTTTCCTCTTCTCCACCTGGGAAACAGAGCCAGGAACAGGCCAGGAGGACCTGCACTCACCACTCAATCTCTTTAGGCTTACGGTCTCTCAGAAGTTCTTGCACCTCCTGCCGGCAGCGCTCCTGGTATTCTGGGTGCCTTGCAAGGTGGTACAGGACCCAGGAGAGACCACTGGCTGTGGTGTCATGGCCTGAGGGGCAGCCAGGAAAGCCAGGAAAGCTTCTGAACTGTTTCACCAACGTGTGGACAGCACCCAGGCATTGAGACCCTCAGGGAGAATGGGAGAAAGGAAAGGATGGATCCAGGGTCCACCCACCAAGTCCCTGGAATAGAAAGACCCCATGCAGTCCCACACTGGGACACTCACCCTCAAACATGAAGGTGTCAGCTTCTGCTCTTATGTCCTCATCTGACAACCCCTTCCCATCTTCATCCTGGAGAGAAGGCAAGAACCCCCAAATCACACTAGCTCTGAAGGCTCCTGAGTCTAACCTGAGACAATCTCAAAGATTCATCCTCCTTCCAGAAACACAAGCCCACCCTGCACTTCTAGACCTCTCTTCACACTTGATCTTGGCCAAAAGGCAAGGAAGAAATCCCTAGACCTCTCTTGGTCACCATGACCAGAGCCTTCACCCTATAGGTGTCCTCCCTGGATTACTTGCCTCTTCTTTTGTGCTTGGTGGAAGGAATCAATAATCGATGAATCTTTTTGTTACTGCACGATGAGAGTTTCCTGAAGGAAAAGTTACTAGTAATCTGGGTTACAGGATGATTAAATGGCCATTTGCCTTGGAAGTCAGAGAGTAAGCATTGCTCCAAACATATTTGCTCACATTCTAGAGTAATAAATCCAGAGAATCATATCTCCCCTGAAAAAACTTGGGTTGTAAATGTATATACTTCAACATCTCACTATAGCAGATTTTTTAATGCTTCAGAATATTTTTTAAAAATTCTCTCTCTCTCCCTCTTTCTCATTCTTTCTCTCAAGGAAGGGGAAAATATGCCAGCTGTCCTATATAAGTTCCAAGACTCATAACACAGAGACCCTCTCCTATGGAGCAAACTCTGCAGCACATATAGTTAGAAGCATTGCATCATCCTCAGGGGAATTTAGGACTGGGTAGCCAGTGCCACAGTCTAACTCTGGCTGCTGTTATTTCTGTCAGTAAGAAATGGGCTTCTCTGATCAGGGGTTGCATCTGTCAGAAGAGATAAAGACACAAACAAACGCATATACATAGACATAAAAACAAAGGCACAGGTAAAGACATAGACAAAGACACAAAGGCATAGACATGGAAACGTACACACACAGAGAAAGGTAGGCATAGATGAAAACACAGACATACACATACACATGTACTAAGACAAAGACACAGACATAGATACAAAGAAATATATACAAAGACATAGACATACACAAAATGTATCATGGACACCAACATACACAAAGACATAGACAAAGGTATAAACACAGATATATGCATGTTGACATAGAGATAACAAATGTGGCAGACTAACTTCTTAACTTGGAAATAGAATGAAAACTCAGACTTTTCCCAACTTCAAACTTATCAGTCTTTGCTGGCTGCATTCTAGACAGTTATCTCTAAAACCTCTTTAATCTGTCCCTCCCATTCTCACAGCACTCAAACGCCCTCTGGATCAAGTCCACATTTTTCTTTCTAAATCTATTCTAACTCTTTTTTCATTTGTTTGGGTTTTTATAGAGGTGCTTTGCTATAATGCTCAGGATGAAGTGTAGCAGGTGTTCCCAGGGATGACCATCACACACTACAGCCTCAAAATCCTGGGTTCAAGCAATGCTCCTTCCTCAGCCTTCCAAGTAACCAGGAAAACTGACATGCACCACTGCACCATGCATCATTCTAACACTTGAATTCATATCCCAGGAAACCCACCTTGCTCAACAGGAGCACATCAATGAAGTCCAAAGTCTTGGTCTTGGCTTTGGCCTTGAGGAAGTCATCGATACCCTGACTGGAGAGGGTGCAACGTCGCTCCTGGATGACAGCATCTGTGAAGTCATGCACCAGCCTGCAGGCCTTGCGGAAGCGCCGTCCTTCAGAGGTGAGATAGTACAGGAAGTCTAGGTGTAGGAGAATCTGCAGGTGCCTTTCTGCCACAAGGGTACTGAGCTCCAAGATGGCAGCAATATATTCACTGGGCTTCCTAGAAGATAAAGGAATAAGGGAGGAAACAATGTAACCCACTTTAAGGCTCAAGAGCACCTCCCACCTACAACCAGAATCTATCTCTCATCAGGAAACTGAGTCTCCAGAAACAGATGGCCCCGCAGATACATAGAATGGATCAGCCATGAGACTGAAAGCTACAAACTCTCTCCTTTCCCAGCATTCCACCTCCTTAAGCTGCCTATGTGCCACTAGGCACCCAGAGCATAGCTTGGACATCATGATCCTCTGCTTCTACAGCTCAGACTTCATCCTCTTCCAACTGTTTCCTAGCCCAACTCCCACCCTAGCCTCCTGCATCCAAAGCCAACTCTAGTGTCTGCATGACAGCCAGTTCTCCACACAGCTCAGCTCTGATCATGCCCATCATCAGCTCAAACATCCTCGATGGCTCGCTGGAAACCTCATGGTAAAGTTCATATCACTTTTCCTAAGTTTTCAATGTCCTGGAGATTTAGCCCCTGTCTACCTCTACAACCTCAATTCTAGTGAGTGTTGCACATATTTAGCTCATCCTAGCTTCCTTGCCTTTACTCAAACACTTCCAGCTACCAGAAAATACTATGCTTTCTCTCTTCCTTTCCCCATATCGTGCCAAGTAGAGCTCTTCCAGGAAGGCTCTTCTAGTTGCCCTGGTCTGTCCTCCTATCCCCACCTCTACCCTTGGGTCCATAGCCAATATTCCCAGGCCCTGAGGAAGGACTCACTCTTGACAATTGCTGTCAAAGCTGAAGACACATTTCTGCAGGCTGTCCAAGGTCATGAGACTGATGTGCTCAAACATGTCCAGATGGGTGCTGCCTTCTGAGACCAAGCGCTGCCACTTGGCCTAGACATAGAAGACAGAGGTGGAGGGTGGGACCCTAACTCCCTTGAGTTCTTCTCCAACCCTAGGCACTGAAATGGAACCAACCTTTTGATCCTCTGCTCCAGGAACCCATTCCCAGGGAGAGCAAGGTTTGGAGGCAAGGGGAGCAGAAGCTGTTATTATGTGGAGATGAAGACCCAAGGCTGGGAGTCAGGAGAGGTAGGTTCCAGTTTCACTCCTTTGCCCTGAGTACCCTTGGTTAACTCCTTGCCTTTCCCATATGTCCTGCCTGTCACGTCTTCAATAACAGTTGAGTTGAACTGCTTTGGTGCTTGATTTAAAAAAACAGATAAGAACCCCTGATTCACCATTCCTAGTTCACTTCCTAGCTGGGTTCACCTGAAGAAACTCCCTTATCCCTGTGGCTCTCCATTTTAACATGTTTAACTCTCTTCACAGATCTGTTAAAATTAAATTATAAAATATATGCTCATATCATGGAATTGGCACATGACATTGTTTCTGTAATAAGAAGAGTTCAGAAAAAATGTTGAGTTTTCTTGGCTCTCTTGTTACAAATGAAATACAAAAATATCCCTATCTTGGGAGACATAGTCCTCCATGCACCCTGAGCATCCTTGCTGGGAAGACCAAAGATGCAAAGCCCTGATTTTCTTCGCCTGGGTCATTTCTCAGACTTGTGTTTACAGGGAATGACATTGAGGGGTAAGGCAATGACCCCCTGTATCTTATTGCTATTAAAGCAGATTCCCTAAGCCAAATACTACTTCCATGTAGCGCAATATGCTCCATGAGCAGGCATCTATCAAGGCCTACTTGTGTCACCTCCATGGGATTTGGGTGGCTTGGAGAAAGAATTCAAATGAACACATGCTGCTTGCAGGGCTATGAGTAATAAACTGCACTTTCCTTCTGACCCCGTCTTCTGACAGAATCCATGAAATAGTAAACAGTTTACTTGTCAGCTTACACATTAAACCATAGGCACTTCACAAAACCCTTATTACCAATTCTTGACTTCTTCCCATATCTACACTGTTTGCTATATTATTTCTCAGCAACTTCCATTAAGACATGGGAAGTAACTGCAGGTGAAAGGGGTGGGGACAACCTGTTTGACTCTGTGGTGGACCTTTGGCTTTCTATGGTCAAATACAATGTAGACAAATGGTTAGGTAATAACTCCAATATATTTAAGACTCAAAAGGCATCACTATCTCCTCTTATTCCCTGGAACTGTCTCTGCCATGTGAACAACCCTGGGATTCCTTCCTAAGGGAGAGATCAAATGGAGGAGAGTCCAGTTGTCCCAGTCAGAACCATCCTAGATCAGCCCAAAGATAGCCAAGCCCCACACATGAGAGAACTGAGGCAGGATCAGCAATATTGCCTAATGGAACCATAGCTGACCATATACTATGACACATCCCATCTATATACAGAAGAATCAGCCAACTGTCCCATATACATAGTAGCATTCACAGACCTTTATTGCTTTAAACTGATGAACAGTTTGTACTTAGAAATGGTTACTATGCAATCATCATCACTGTTCTCTTGAGTTTACAAGAATTCTGTGAGAAGCTGACACCTCTGAGCATCTTTTATGTACTGGGTCATCACTCATTACCACCTTTTAAGTAGGGATTATTATACCCATTTTACAGATGAGGAAACCAAGGTTCAGAGAGGAAGAGCAGTGGCCCCAAGCCACCCAGTAGACCTAAAATTTCCAGAACTGTCTGAGGCCCCTTTGACTGCAAAGATTCAGTTGGAGCCTTGGGCTGAAGGAACTCACATGCATGATGTTTGCACTCTCATTGAAAATCTTCATATAGGGCTTCAGGATGTTGAAATGGAAGGCAGGTGTCAGCATGCGACGGTGGCGGCTCCACTTGTCACCAGCACTCAGCAGGAGCCCATCCCCTGGTAAGGCAGCCAAGGGCAGTGGGCATGGGGAGTGCCTTCCTGTGACCTGAACAGGTTGTCCCCACCCCTTTTGTCTGCAGTTACTCACCCAGCCAGGGTTTGAGGAAGCTGTAGTAGAGCATGTCCTTTAGTGCGATGTTGGCTGGCCAGAACAAAGACCATTAGGGGCTGGGAAAAGGGGTTGAGAAGGGACTTGGGTAGGGGGTGCAGGATCCCAGCCTGAGGTTGGCACTTTCTCCCTCCAAGCCCAGTATAGCAAGAAAGGAACCAAGGGCAGAGGAATCAGGGAGGATGGGGGAGGTGAGCAGATCAGACCAGGGTGCAGAAACACAGTAGAGCAATAACACATTCTAACATGGCACAGCATGCCCCATGCAACTTGACATGAGCAACACCCAGCATGCCCCATGCAACTTGACATGAGCAACACCCAAGCATAGCTCAACAATCCACAAAATACCTTCACAGTGACTTAGGAGACTCTGTCTGCCCCAGCACTCTGACACCTCCTGACATGGACCTTGGACATGTGACATGGACCTGATATGTAAATAATGACAAGCCTGACCATGACACAATGTGTTCTAACATGGACCTGAGATGGTCTCACAGGACCTCAATGTCCAACATAAACAGTCCTCAGGACTTAAATTGTGGTCCATTTAATGTCACTGATGTGCACATATGACCCACACTGTTCTGCAGGCATGACTTGAATATACACTAAGACCTATCTTAGACAGTCCACAAAAGCACTTTGGTTTCCAGACTTTGGACAAGGCTCAAACATGTTCTAGATGTGACCAGCAGGAGAAAAAGACAATCTCAAACAGCTTCTCAGACAAAAACCAAAAAAACCTTTAAGATGTCTTAGCCAGAGCTAAGCCCCAGACACGACCAGCTCCATAGACCCCCAGGTGTAAATATGACCAAGATCTGGTTTTACAGCAGACATGACTTTACATCAGACATACTCCAAATATAAGCAGACAAGACCAAAGGTAAGATAGGTGGAAGTCAGGGGGAGACAGCAGCAGTGTCATCTCCACCTCAGTCCCTCCTGTCTACATTCAGGTCACCAGACCAGCTGGAGGAAGCACAAAGACCTCAGCAGCAGGCAAGCTGCAGCCAGTGCTGGGTCTACCTGGAGCAAAGAGCACCGGCTTGATGAAGGTGGGGTGGAAGATGCGGATGACTGTGTGCAGGGGCCCCACCCGCCAGAGGCACAGAGTCCCAAAGGTGCTCGCCAGGCCCTGTGTGTACAGGAGACCTTCCTCTGAGCTCTGAATCTGCAGAAGAACAAACAAGACCCAAGTCAGGCTCTTCTAGGCTTCCAGAGAGAAAGACTTGCAAGGTAGAGACCCAGACTTGAGCCCTCATTGTGCAGCATCTCATTGTTGTGTCTGTGCTTAGCCTCTCCCTGGACTTCCTCCCAGTGCTGTCCACACATAACACTCCGGATCCTTCAGCTGCAAGGGAAGAAAAAGCGATCCCCCATTTTAATCCCAATCACGTGTTCACCTGGGTTCTCCTCCTTTTCATTTTCCAAATAAAGAGACTGAGACTCCAAACATGAGTCACTTGCCTGTGGACTCTCCCAGAGTAAGAGGCATCCCTGATACCTCAGCCCATCTGTCTGAATTCAGGGCCTGAGTCCTTATCTATCATGTTCACTTGCACCATCAAAGCAATAACTCTGGAAGTCTCACATGTGCCAAGACTGGGCAGGACTCAGGCCAGGACAACTAAAGTGAATCACAGCCCATCTATGGAACTCTGGGAGAAAGGAGAACTTTCCCATGAACACTGAACTTCAGGGACTCATCATTGACACCAAGAGGAAAGAGCTGCCTGAAAAGAAAAGTGACACAGGAAAAGGTAAAACTGAAAGGGGATAGATTGCCTATGACACTGAGGCCTGGATCTAGCTGTGCCTGAAGGCCACCCTCCCTGAACTATACACTCAATATATCCCCTTTTCTTTGCTTAAAATAGATGTAGTTGAGAGTTCATCACTCACAACTGAAAGAGACCTCAGCAGACAGAGAAAGACAGGACCTATCCAGAGTCACTCAGCATTTTGAAGTCTGAACCATGTTTTCTATTGCTCTGGGCCTGGAAACAGGCAAGGCTGATGCTAGGCCTAGCCACAGAACTTCAATGCTAACAGTGCCCACTTCCTCTGTCTTCCCTCTTCTTTAAGAAAATTCTGCTCATTGTTCCAGATCCAGCTCCAGAAACTCCTCCTCCAGAAAGCCTGCCAGCCTGCCCCAGGGGTTCTCCTCAAAGCTATCACAGTTTACTTCCCTCTGGCCCATTCCTGACCAAGTGAAATTATGGATGTCTCTGTCTACAGTCATCTTCTCAAACTTGTGGGTTTATCAGGACAAGTCCTGGATTGAAACCTCTTGGGGCCTCAGCAGTGCCTAGAACACCAGGGCAAAGGGAAAGAAGGCATTTCAGGGAGGGGACACTGAGGTGAATATATGAAAGAAAAACAGTGGTGGCTGAGAGAGGGGAGAGAAGAAGGGGCTGAGGTACTGCAGGGGACGTGAAGAAGCTCAGGGAGGTAGGGCTGGAAGACCTGGATGTGCTGTGGCACCCACCACCAGGTGTTTCAGATGAGTACCTGAGGCATTGAGAACAGACTGGATAATGTTGGGGTAACACGAATTGATGATGGGGGAGACAGGGCCCATCCAGGTCATAAAGCCCTGGGGGGTAGGTGGCCACCAGCTGAGTGAGGCTCTCATCCCCTGCTCTGTGGGGGGTTACCTGCAAGCAAGACAGGAGCCATCATCTCCTGTGATGGTTAATTGTAGGTGCCAACATGACTGGGCTAGGGAATGCCTAGATAGCTAGTCAACATTATTTCTGGGTATGTGCCACTGAGAGTTTCCAGAAGAGATTAACCTTAGAATTGGTAATCTGAGGAAGGAAGATCTGCCCTCCCCACTGTGGGCAGGAACCATCTAATCCATTTAGGCCAGAATAGAACAAGAAGACAGAGGAAAGGGGATTTGGTTCTGTCTTCTGGAGCTGGGACATCCACTTTCTCCTGCCCTTGGATATGAGGACCAGCTTCTCAGACCTTTGGGTTCTGGCTCAATTACAGCATCAGTGTCTTGGTTCTCCAGCTTGCAGATGGCCTATCACTGGGCTTCCTGACATAATCATGTCAGCCAATTCACATAATAAATTCTCTCTCTAGCTCTCATTCTCCTACTATCTCTATCTCTCCCCCCACTAACATGTACATATATATATATATAAGGTAAGCTTGGCTATAACCTATGGAATCTGTAACTAATACAGCAGGACCTTCCTCCCTGCCCCCCGCAGCATGAGGACATGCTGCAGTCTCTACAGTGAATAGTGTATCCTGATTCTGCAAAGATGAAGGGAATCTCTGTTTCCTTTTGCCCCTTATCTTGGGCCCATCTCCAAACCCCAAGGGTGCATCCTAGGACAGAGGAAGAAGATGCTGTCTGCTCTCAGAAAGGCCCACCTTAGGTCAGGAGAAAGTATTTTCTTATTTTGGGAGTGGTTGCAGACCGGGGCAATCATGTGAGGAGGTGTCCACGGTGTGAGAAAAAGGGTTGTGGGCAGCAGTGTGGCCTTAGGACGTGTCCCTAAGGCTGGTTTACACAACATTTCATGACCTGGCTGGTTCATGTGGGCTTCAGTTTCTGCTACCAAGAAGAGTCTGCACACAAGAACCTTCTGTTCTCAGCAGACCCCAGGGCAGCAGAGAACTCTAAATGTCCCTCAGGACAGTGGTTTTCACCTATGAGCATCTTAGATACACCAGGCTTTGTGCATAGTGCTTCCTGTGCCCCCTCTCTACAGACATGTCCATCACTCCTGCCGTTACAAATGAACAGACTAATGCCACATTCCTCAAAGCAGAGCAACTCTAAGTTATAGGGCAAGGTATGGAGAAGGAAAGCATTTTAAAAAGCTTCTGAAAGGGGAAGTGACTAAACAACTTCTAAACAGGTTGGGCAACAAGGGCCCATTGGGACATCTTAGTGGTGAAGAGGAGAGGAAGAGGAAGATGCCCCAGGAAGGGCAGGGGTGGACACTCCCCACACCTGTCTTCTGGCCCACCTGTGTCCTGTGTTTTGGGAGTGGGGGGTCACAACTAATTCCTGTGGAAAGCATCAGCCCATAGAAGGGCAGACACAGGAAATGGGGCGGGCAGAGAGCCGACCCTGGACAGTGCCCCTCAGGAGGCCTCAAGTCCACCAGTGGAGAAGGTGGGAATGCCAGGGGCCACTTCCCTCTTCAGGAGCCCCCTCAAGGTGCAGCAATGTGGGAAGACAGGCAGGGAAAGGATCCTAAGCAGGTTGGGGGTCAGGGACAAGGAGATGAGAGAGGCCTGGGTGGCATAGCAGAACAATGAGGGAGTCAGCTGAGGAATGAAGGAGCCTCCTCCCTCACTTCTCTGCCCTCTCAGATCCCAGCCCACCTCGATTACCAGCCCTGGAGAAATCCACCAGCCCTGACACCCCAGGTGTCCTTCTGCCACACTCACCAGGCCCAGATGACCCAAGAACCAGTTTCGTTTTGGAGGCTGTGGGAAACAGCGCAGACGGCGGAAGTTGTCATAGAAGGAGTAGGTCCAGGCCAGGATGCGGGCCAGGATGCAAGAGACCCCAACCAGCAGCAGCAGCAGTGATGGGGAGGCTCCCTCTGGCCCCAGGCCCAGCCAGGACAGGCTCAGCTGTGGCATCCTGCAGGAAAGAGGGGTGTAGGGAGAGTTCCTGAGGCCCAGGAGAGGCCAAGGGAGCTCTAGGCCCAGTACAGAGGGCCAGGGCTGGGGAGTTCTCAGGATGGGAAAACAATGCCTAAGACCTAACGTTCAAAAAGGTCCAGCCAGAATCTGCAGCCAATTGGCTTCCAGTTGCCTCATACGCACCCAGAAAGAGACAGAGAAAGGGCAAAGACAGTCAGAAAGGTCCAGCCTAAATTGTTGCAGGTTACCAGGAGCTCAGTTATCCAGAAACCACAATTCCCAGAGCCACATTGCTGGAGCCACCCCAGCCTTGGGCAGACACCTCCCATTCTGGGACGGGACTCTCCAGCCCCACCACCCCGAGCCTGGCACCTTTATCAGGAGCAGCTTGTCCACACAAACTCCTCTTCCTCTCTGCTAGGAGGTCTTTGCCCCTGGCCCCTGATTAGAGATGCCTGCAGCAGGACTAGGTGGTGCTCACCCATGCCCAGGAAGGCAAACAGAATATGGGACAGGGAAGCAGGTGGGTGCAGAGGAACTAGCTCAGCATGACATAGCACCTCCCATGTGGGTTGGAAGGTACACTGGGAGTCATCAAAGGTGTCTCTGAGCCCCAAAGTTTATAGCCACCCCTGCTGTGGGTTGAGACATGACTGCTAGTAGCAAGAACAGAGTATCCAGCTTTGCTGGGGGTTACCTGGATCAGATTCTAGCAATGGAGAGCTCAGCTGTGAAAGAAAACCTGGAGGCTAGGTTCAGTGTCTAAGGAACAGAACAGAAAAATAAAAGGTAAGATTGGGAGGGACCATGAGCAGATGGGGTCCAGGCAGGGGAGGGCAGAACCAGAGGACCTTGAGTGGAGTTTGCATTTTGCCCCATCCTTGCTCTAACTGTAGGCAATGTCAGCTGACTTAGCCTCAGTCTTTCCATTTGGGAACACAAAAGGGCTCCACAGATGAGGGAGCCCCATAAAAAGGGAATGAAGGGAATGAGCTAAAAAATTAGCCCTTGAGCTGCCCTGGGTCAGTGCTCTACTCTGTGCAAAAAGTCGTATGCAAAGTCCTTCTACTGTGTGCCAATACTCCCCATAAACGGTGCCTATTATGTTCCAGGTACACTATACAAGGTACATTTACCCTATACCAGGTAATTCATATAAGTCTTTTATTTACTGTGTGCCAAGCTTTCTACATAAATTGTGTCCACTGTGTGCCAGGCAGGCTAAATAAAATGCATCTACTGTGTGCCAGGCTTTCTATATAACATGAACCTAGTGTGTACCTACTACTGTATGTGAAGTTTGTCTACTGTGTGCCAAGCACTCAATGTAATGTATAACTAGGAATGGCAGGTCCTCCACATAAATCCTGCACATGAAATCTAGTTCACTGTGTGCCAACTGCTCTGTATGGCACAGAAAGTGCACCTGCTGTGTGCCAGATACTCAACTATGCCTACTGTGTACAGAGTTCACCTGTGTTTCAGGTGCTCCATATCAGGGTCAAGGAGGAAATCCAGAGGTTGATAAAAACAGGAAGGATACTACTGGTTATAGGGGTTCAGCTCACTGCAGATGTACTACACACCTAGGATGAGCAGACAACATAGAGTGGAAATGATGGCCACTGCCATTTGTTAACAGAAGTCTCTCAACATCATGTGTTCTTGCTGTGTGCCGGCTACTCTATATAAATCCTGTCTACTGTGTGCCAAGCACTCTACATAAAATGCACTTACTATATGCCAAGTGCTCTCCATAAAGTGTACCTACCATGTGCCAGGTGCTCTATGGAAAGCGCACCTGCTTTGTGTCAGATGCTCACATGCAACATAATGCCCACGAGTGACCCACCACCCTTCCCTTAGCTTTCTGGGCCAAAGCCCTGTGGACTGGGTGGAAAGACCCAAGTGACAGTATCCAGAGGAGGGAAGATGCCCATTTAACAGAAGAGCACACTGAGGCTTAGAGAGGGCACATCTCTAGCCCAAGTTGAAGAGCTCAAAGGAACCGAGGTTTATCACTCTATCAAGCCCAAATTCTTTCCCTCTGCCATGCTGTTCCATGCTGGTCCACATTTGTCACCATTCATTGTGGACAAATCCATGATGATCCAGATAGAATCTCAGGCAATGTGGTGGCCCCACGGGGGAGAAGCTTTGAGGGCCTGGAATCACTACTTGCCTCCTCCTGCCTTACCCAGGATGGTCCACTTAAGAATCCAGTGGTTTCTGCCTGGGTTCCCAAACCTGTATCCTGTCCAGAATTGCACTCTCAGATGGCCTTAGAGTACATTGGAGATTTGAAGACAGTTCTCCTGACACTGGTACAATGAGGGACCACAAACCTCCCACTCTCCCACCTTCTCTGCCATCTCCAGCTCAATAAACAAGGGGATTCAGATGGATGGCCACAGAACCCTCGTTAAGGAGAGGTGCACCCCCTAGAATCTCCACCTTCCCCACAAGGACAGACTGTGTGCCAGTTGCTCCATGTCAGGGGACAAATCCAGTATTGGATAGACCAAGAAGGGTCCCAGAGACACAGAAGTAAGAGTCCCTAGTGGTTACAGGGACTCAGCTTGTTGCAGACCTACTATGTGCCTAAGACAGGCAGACGTCCTTGAGCAGAAATGGTGGACGCTACTGTTTACCAACAGAAATCACTGAACCTGTTTCAAAGTCCTTTAAGTATACTAACCATCTCTTTCATTTTGTAAATGAGGAATCAATTCCAAAAAATATTTAAGTGAGTGCCCACAATTACAGAGCCAGGGTAGCCAAGCTGTGCCCCCACCACACAGCCTCACATCACGTGCCCCTAACCACTGGTCTGGGCTCCTTCCTACCTATAAATAGGCATTTCAGTAGCACCCATCTCATAAGACTATGTAACAACTGAAGAGACAGTGCGTGTAAAATGCATAAGCAGAGAGAGGGCTGAATTAGTGCCATCCATTCACGTTGCTGCTACCATTGCTCTTCAGTGACCATCCAGCAGCCCTGCAGTGTCACCCTCATGGGCCCATTTTTACAAAAGAGGAATCAGACATTCAGAGAGGGAAGCAACTTGCTCCAGTCCCATAGAAAATTAGGTAAGTGTGACATGACAGGTGACAGGAAAGTGTGAGTGTTCTTGCTTCCTTCCTCAGTTGTTCAGAGATAAACAGAGATGTGAGGAAATCTCCCTCAGAGTCTACGATTGATCAGGAATCTACCATGCAGCCAACTCACAGAAGTGATGAAATCCAGCCCCACATTCAAGCCCGAAGTGGTTGCTGCATTCCCTTTACCACAACACAGGTCATGAACGTGAACTAAGGCCATCCAGGCACAACCAGGGCCGCAGCCACTGGCTGGGGTTGCCAGCATCTTGGCAGAGGTGCCAGAATATCAGTGGAGTTCACTTGGGATTTAAAAAACACAGGACAGAGGAAGGATACAAAAAGATCCACAGGGACCACTATAGTTGTTATCCATCCCCACCCTGGGTGGGATCCCTTGGCTGGTGCCAGTTCTGAGCAGTTTCCCCCGCCACATCCACCACCCCCAGCCCCAGAATGGGAGAACTCAGGGTGACATCCACAGAGACCTTCTCTGCCCAGTGGGTAGGGTATTTCTCATTCAAAACCGAGGGAGAGGAACAGAGGTGCCTGTGAGGGGAGAGGCAGAATTTCCCTCTTCATTCAGGCATCTGCATAACTCATTGGCCAGGGAACCACCCAGGGCAGAGGTGCCCAGGGAACCCCCTCTGCAGGGGCATGTGGAGGAAGGGCTTACCCAGTCTGTTGGCACCTGCTGCAGCCTCTCCCGTTAAAGCAGGGAATAGGAATCTGGTCAAAGGTGGTATGCACAGGTGAACAGAGGGAACAGGACTGATCTGTTCTCTGCCTTCCTTGTTCAGCTACAGATTTTCCCAGTGTTTCAGGAACAACTGCTCCCTGGACCCACAGCCTGGAGGTGGTGAGAGTTCTCAGCTAACATTACCCCCCGCCTCCCTTATGGTTTCCCCTGGACCCTTCCCATGCCCTTGGAAGTAGACCCTTCTTAAACTCTCTCCTTCAGCCCATTAGTGGTCTGTTTCAGGACACACTTGCTATTTTCCCTAAAGGTATGGCACTCCCTAGTAAATTAGTTATGTGGGTGTTTTGTAAGACTCAATCAAGAAGACCAATGAGAAGACAGAGAGAGTCATGGTTAAGAACAAGGACTCTGGGTGCCAACAGCTTTATTCAAACTGGAACAGCTGTGTGAATTTCAGACAGTCTCTATACCACTCTATGCCTCACTTTTCTTTTCTTTTCTTTTCTATTTTTTTTTTCTTGCAAAAAAAAGGGCTGGGTTTGAACCCACCTCCTCCAGTATATGGAGCCAGTGCCCTACCCCTCTGAGCCACAGGCGCTGCCATGCTCACTTTTCTAATTTGAAAACTGGAAGTAAAAATAAGGTGTTTGTGACAACTGGATGAGTTGAAATAAGGAAAGTGCTTACATTGATACTCCTTGTCATGTAGTCAGTACCAGCGTCTTTACTAGTCTTATGGTAGAACAAGAATATGGGCACCAGCCATGAGCCTGGAGCCTGTCTGCTACTAACATCACAGATTTTTTAAGACACGAAAGTATAAAGATTCTCAAAGAGAGTGCAGGGGAAACACTTGAAGAAATTGGCCTGGGAGAATATTTTGTGAGGCGGACCCCCCAGGCAATTGAAGCAACACCAAATGTACATTAATGTGGGCGTGGATGTGGAGACAAGGGAAAACTTCTGCACTGCTGGTGGGAATGCAAGCTAATATGACCCTTTTGGAAAGACATTTGGAGAATACTCAAAACTTCTCAAAAGTAGACCTACCATTCGATCCTACAATTTCTCAACTAGGTATATACCCAGAAGATCAGAAATCATTTCACATCAAAGGCATTTGCACCAAAATGTTCATTATAGCCCAATTCATAATTGCCAAGACATCAAAACAGCCCAAGTACCCATCGACCCATGAATGGATTAACAAATTATGGTATATGTACACCATGGAATACTATGCAGCCATAAAAGGAGGCGAAAACGTCACATATTTTATGTTTACCTGGATGGAGCTGGAACACATTCTCCTTAGTAAAGTATCTCAAGAATGGAAGAAAAAGTATCCAATGTACTCAGTACTATTATGAAACCAATATGTAATCACCCACACTTTCATATGAATGATAAAACACAACTATAGTCCAGAGTGAAGAGGTGGGAGAGGGAAAAGGAGGAGGGAGGCTGGGAGAGGGGGGGTATTTGGTGTGACCTCACCTAATGTGCACAATGCAAGGGTACATGTCAAAACTATTAAGAGTAAAATATAAATGTCTTAACACAACAAATAAGTAAGTGAGGTGAAGGTTATGTTAACCAGTTTGATGTAAGCATTCCAAGTTTTACATAAAATCGGTACATTGTACCCCAT